CGCATCGATCAGGTTTTCTGAACTGTCCCAGGGATGACGAAACGGCAACAGGCGACTTTGATCTCTCAGTTCCCCGACCTCGAGACCCTATTGTGAGTATCAGTGTGAAAACATCGCTCAAGAATCCCCGTATCTACTTTCACTGCCTCCTTGAAACGCGTAAGTTTTCTATTTCGAGAAACACGTCGCGTGCGCCTATCTTCAGCTGCCAAGCATACCAAGCTTTCACCATCAAGACCCTACGAGTATTTTATACAATAGATCGGCAGGGTCTTTCTTTTGACAGAATCTGGTGGAACTGATCCCCAGTCATCCTTCGCTTAACACTTCGTTCGTTATCAGATTACTAAGTAATCTTTGTCATTCGCTATATCCTCATTAAACATGCATCAACTCTTCGAGTCAAATGAGAGCCTTCCCGTAGCAACGTCAAGCGGCGGGACCAGCACACTGAAGCCACCAAATACTTCTCTATGTCCAAGTCCAGTGACTAGCCGACGGCCGAGTGGCAGCAAGAGCCCTCTCTCGCGTCCACTTCGAATTCTTGTTGCTCCGTCAGGTTTCAAGGAGGCAATAGGACCGGAAGCAGTCGCAGATTGCATCGAGGCTGGACTTAGAAGGATCTACAATAGAGAGGATGGAATCATTCAGAAACTGCCCCTTCACGATGGTGGTGAAGGCTTTTGTCAGGCTCTAGTCTTCGCGCGTGGAGGCGAAATGCATGAGCTCACCGTAACTGGTCCGACTGGCAGGCCAGTCGAGTCACACTTTGGGTTGATTGAAAATCGAGAAACTGCTGTTCTGGACATGGCTGCAGCCGCTGGACTACGTTTAGTCCCTAAAAGCCTACGTGATCCCACGATCACGACTACATATGGAGTTGGTGAACTCATCAGGGCTGCACTCGACACGGGATGTCGCAAGATCATTATTGGATGTGGAGATTCTGGAACATCAGACGGAGGTGCTGGCATGTTGCAAGCGCTGGGTGCCGAATTCAAACAGGTTGATGATACACTAATTCCCAAGGCAAGCGGCGGTGCAGCATTGGCCAACCTAAAGAAAATTAGCCTGGACAATTTGCACCCGAGACTCAAAGACGTTGAGATTCAGGCAGTCTGTAATATCAAGAATGTCCTTTGTGGAGACCAGGGTGTTGCTCGAGTGTATGGTCCGCAAAAGGGGGCGTCCAAAGAGCAGGTCGAAATGTTGTCTTTGGCCCTTGAAAAGCTTGCCGCCGCGGTTCATCCAATTGTCGGAGAAGATATTGCAACCAAGCCAGGAAGTGGAGCTTCTGGTGGTCTAGGGGCTGCGATCATGCTTCTCGGTGGACAGCTCAGGGCTAGGAACGAAGCGATCAATGAGTATTTCGGTATCCATGAGATTCTGGACCAGCACTGGGACTTTGTTTTCACAGCTGAAGGTAGCTTAGACTTTCAGTCTTCAAAGGGGAAGATGACAGTTGAAATTGCGCGCCGCGCACGACAGGCCGGTGCCCAGGTCGTTGCGTTGGCCGGTACCATCGGTGACGGAGCGGATACCGTATATGATGAAGGTATTGAGGCGTTCACCAGCATCCTCAATGGACCGCTGTCTCTAGAAGATGCTATCAGAGAAACAGAAAAACTTCTCAAGGATGCTGCAGAGCGGACGATGAGAATGATTCAAATGGGAATGGCACTTCGAGAGGGAGCGCCTGCTTTTACAGTGCTTGAGAATGAGAGTTTTGAGACATTCCCTCCTGTATCTCAAACGCAACAAGGGCCTGTTCCATCTCTTGTGAAGATTGCAAGAGCCATGACGAGTTAAAGCGCAGTTGGCTCCTTGTCTGCTAGATGCAGATGGGTTTATTATGATTTATGTTGAACGAAGATTTGTGATTTAGCTCAGACAATGAATTTATATGAATACTCTCCCCAACCTCTATCCTGACAAGTGTATAATTTGGAACAGCCTGCTGAATTCAGGCTGAGGGGTGCAGTTCTTCGTATCCGTAGTGAGCTCCTGCTCCTTGCAAGGCTGCTCTTGGAAAGGCGCCATGGAAAGCAATATTGGACCGGGTACTTCATACGCTGATCTTGGAATACTAGATAAGAGTGATGGCGCCGACAGAACTGGACTCGTACCTTGTTTCTTCCTAAAGTTGTCTAGTCAATCCGCCCTACGTCTGTGTAACGAAGTACTGGGAATCTGCCAATACGATTAGCCAAATACACTCGCAATCAACTTGTAGGATATGACAGACCAACCAGTCACGGGTCTAAACCTTTCATAGAAATGCAACGCCATATCGACAAGGCTTTCGCTATCTTCCTTCGGCTAGCTTCCTATGAGCGGTAGTTTCCTGTCTTTATTTTCGGTTGCCAAGCCTCCAACGACGAGCCACCCACCATGGGCAAGGAACTCAAGCCATTTGAGCTCAAGTCGACCTAGCAGTCAGTGATATTATCTATTGGGATAATTTGCCCAATGCCTACCACTTTCATATGAATTGGACCAAGGATGTGAAGTTCACTTTACAAATCTCTACTTCGGAATACGACATCTCAGGGTATCTTAGTTCTAAGCCCAAAGGGCGAATCAAGACTCCGTTGCTATGCAACTTAACAAATGAGGATCAAATGCAGCGTGCATCAAGGTCTTAATTCAAACCACCAGCTGCAGTGGCGGTCCTTCAATCCTACTGAATGTCGGGTTGAGGCAAAATCCGATGGAATCTCCGATACCACTGATACATGCTGTGCAATGCCGGCCGGCCGGCCACATATGGCGCCATGGAACAGTGACCAACCGGATCTTACCAAGCGTTATCGCCGGTTACGCAACCGAAGATTCAGTGGGCAACCCGCCCCGGCGCCCGGCCGAGTGGGGTAATAAAAGGAGGGGAGGCTCCCTTCTGCAGCGAATACTGCTGCTCCTGTTGGTCTGATTATAAGGAAGCACAGAAGTTGATATTGTAGCAAGTCTTTAGGATACATATTGAAGATGGCGCAACAATCGAAATCAGCTTTGAAGATTGTCTTCGGTGCGATGACACTGGGAAAAGAAGGTGACATTCCTACATTGGACAATAGGCTTTTATAATCAAGTAACTGAATACCAGCGCAGGCGCCGAACAAGCACGGGTTCATAAGCTAGAAGATTGCGCTGCAATTCTCGATGTCTTCCAAAAGTTCGGCCATGATGAAATTGACACGGCACGAGTGTATGGAGGCGGAAGCTCGGAGGAGTATCTTGGGCGGCTGAACTGGCAGGGTCGAGGCATCATTATGGACACCAAGCTTTCCCCACGGAAGAAAGCACTCATTCCAGGCGCGCGGACTTACACACACAAGGCAGCCGACCTCCGGCCTGCACTACTACAGAGTTTGAAGGCTCTCAATACAGACAAAGTGAGCCAGAACGATCATCTCCTGACTGTTTTCATCTTCGAGAATGTTGCTGACACAACAAAGGTTGATATGTGGTATCTCCACGCCCCAGACCACGACACCCCGTACGAAGAGACACTTAGAGAGGTCAACAACCTGTATCAGGAAGGATATTTCAAGCGCTTCGGTATCAGCAACTATGCAGCTTGGGAGGTGGCGCAAATATGCGAGTTGTGCAAAGCCAATGGGTGGAAGAAGCCCGATGCCTACCAGGGGGTTTACAATGCGTTGCACCGAGCAGTTGAGCCCGAATTATTCCCTTGCCTAAGGTTTTACGGCATTGCGTTCTATGAGTTCAATCCATTGGCAGGCGGTTTCTTGACCGATCGATATCAACGCAACACTGCCGAGCACGAAGAGGGTAGTCGATTCGATCCGGCGAGGAATCAGGGCCAGAGTTATCGTGGGAAATACTGGAATGATGTGTATTTTGACGCGCTCGATATAATTCGACCGGCAGCGAAGAAACTGGGGTTGACAACGGCGGAGGCAGCTGTGCGCTGGGTTAATCATCATAGCCTAATGAAGAGGGAGCACGGCGATGCGATCATCATCGGAGCCAGCAGCGCACAGCAATTAGAGGAGAACCTCACGAATCTCGAGAAAGGCCCATTGCCTGATGAGCTGGTCAAGGCATTAGACGAGGGCTGGGCAATTGTAAAGGGAAGCTGTAAGCCGTATTACCACTGAGCAGGACAGAGTGACTTCTTTCAGTAAGTCCTGTCAGTCAACTATCGCGTCTCTGCCAAGCGCGTCGAGTATGTCTCAATTGACTCGATTGACGCCGGGAGGAGGCGAGGAGCCAGTGCCTTAGATATTTGAGTTACTGTCGGCTCTGTCCCGCATCGCACGCCGCTGCGCGCGGCGAGTCAGGCTCTTCAGCTTTTGAGAGCCGGAAACCCGAGTCAAATCTAGTTAATAAAAAGCCTTGCTATTAGTTCCCTTTGGAAGGCAAAACAATACGTAAAAAGCTTTGAAGAACTCATGCTTAATTCCACATATATGCGGATCGGTTATCTCTTATTGGGCATAGCGTGCGGTAACACCGTTGCTTGAATCGTCCTGCCTGTACAGTCCTTAGTGTATCGTTCGCTGATGACGTCTGACCTTGCATGGGAGGCGCTGAAACAGCCAGGACAGGCCGAAGTGACCCCTGCTGGTGCTGTAACCATCTCCGGCTTATCTCGCGCCGTCAGATTGCGCCGTCGAATGACAGCGGCCGTGATTCTTTTGCGCCCCCGCGTTCCCGCTTGCGCCAAGTCGATTGCTGGTGGAAGTCGGCAGTATTTTGCAGGAGACAGTCTTACCATGCTGCAAAAGTACGACATGGGCATCCTTGACCTCACTCCATGTCTCTCCACAGCCTGCAGAGAAGCGGCGCCGGCGGGCACTGAGACATTTTTCACGGGTAGGTTGTATGGTGGGTGGGTAGGTCTGTAAGTAACGTCGGTATGCGGTACGGTACCGTGGTATTAATGTCGTCGAGTCCCTGATCGACACAATGTCACGCTTTCCCAGCTCTCTCCCTCTTATCCTCGTTTCTACTAGTCTGGATGACAGTGTAGTATCATGTCTTCCGAGATACACCACCATTCTAGTGCCGGCAGCGGCACGGTCGATGAGAAGAAGGCTTCCTATGACCAGGATGACCTCCGTGAAGGCCTCGTCGAGGTCTCTGGCAACGCAGACTCGTTGAAGCGCCATCTCGGCAACCGCCAGATCCAATTGATTGCTATTGGCGGAACTGTTGGTACTGGTACGTGACCCAGAGAACGATGCGTCTAATAGCTATGAGCTTGGCATTCCATGCCGATGGGGATCTCATGAGGACCTTCGCTGACTAGGCTAGGTTTGTTTGTGAGTATTGGAAGCGGTCTCATGAACGGCGGGCCAGCGAGTCTCTTCATTGCCTACACCTTCTACTCATGCCTCGTCGGTCTCGTCAACAATTGCATGGCGGAGATGGCCATCTATATGCCAGTCTCTGGTTCCTTCATCCGATTCGCTGGAAAATGGGTTGACGAGGCCTTTGGCTTCATGTCCGGCTGGAACTTCTTTCTCTACGAGGCAACACTCATCCCATTTGAGATCTCGGCCCTCAATCTCGTTCTCACCTTCTGGCGGGACGACATTCCTGTGGCTGCTGTCTGTGCGGCTTGCATCGTCTTATACGGCGCCATCAATGTGTTCGCTGTCAAGTACTATGGTGAAGCAGAATTCTGGCTGTCTAGCGGCAAATTCCTACTCATTCTAATTGTCTACTCATTCACCTTCGTGACGATGGTCGGAGGCAACCCGCAACACGACGCCTACGGATTTCGATACTGGAACAACCCCGGCGCATTTGCCGAGTACATTACAACTGGCGCACTGGGGCGCTTTCAAGGATTTTTAGCCGCGCTCTGGTCTGCGGCGTTTACCATTGTGGGACCGGAGTATCTCGCCATGGTGGCAGGCGAGGCACAGAGACCGCGCTTATACCTGAAGAAGGGATTCAAGACGGTATACTGGCGATTCGGCTTCTTCTTCATCGGCGGTGCGCTTTGCGTTGGTGTCATTCTTCCATACAACGACCCGACTATGACCGAGAACGCTGGCGCGGGCACTGCAGCTGCCTCTCCGTATGTGATCGCCATGCAGAACATGGGCGTTGATGTGTTGCCGCATATCACCAACGCGCTGCTTGTGACCAGCATCTTCTCCGCCGGAAACGCATACACCTATTGCGCGATGCGGTCCCTCTACGGCCTCGCTTTGGAGGGTCAGGCGCCCAAGTTCCTGCGCAAGTGCACCAAGAGCGGCATCCCGATCTACTGCTACTGCGCGACCATGTTCTTCCCACTGCTGTCGTTCCTGTGCGTCTCGAACGGCTCCGCGCAGGCTGTCACCTGGCTCGCCAACCTGACGGAGGCGTCGCAGCTCATCGACTACATGATCATGAGCACCACCTACATCTTTTTCTTCCGCGCGATGAAGGCGCAGGGCCTCGACCGCCGCACACTCCCGTACCGTGGCTGGTGGCAGCCGTACTGCGCGTGGGTCTCGCTGGTCCTGATGACGATGATCCTCGGCTGCTACGGATACGCGACCTTCCTGCCCGGGTGGTGGGACATCGGTGACTTCTTCTCCTACTATACCATGGTGTTTGTCGCCATTCTCTCCTATGCCGGTTGGAAGGTGATCAAGAAGACCAAGGTTGTCAGCCCGCTGGAGGCCGACTTGGTGTGGGACAAGCCCATCATTGATGCCTATGAGGATTCTTTGAAGACAAAGCCCGAGGGCTTTTGGAACGAGGTCCTACAGATGTTCCGTCTCAAGAAGAAGAAGAATGAGCCCGTCGAAGCTATTTAGAGACATTTAGCGTGCAGATACGCGATAGATACCCAGTAACATATAAATATACCGTGTCTCACAAAGATCTGTGCACTTGCTGGTGGCTGCGCAAGAGTGTACAATGATATGGCGAGGTTAAAATTGAATGGGCCTCGTGATCGATAGTCAAGATGAATGTACATGGGCTGAGGACTCGGCCCGTACCCCGGTTACGGGCAATGGGTGGAGACTGTGGGGAGTTCCGGAAGATAAGCAGGTGGACTTTATAAAAGGGAGCCCACATGAACACTGGGCCATTCAATGTGCATCCAAATCATATAATATTTGTCCTAATGTCTACCGTGGTATAGCGGGGGCATTTCCCCTGATGCAATCCTCTATATGAACCTAGACGCCGGAGTGGTGATACTCTTTATCACCTAAGCCAGTATGTACCAGTTGCATCGACACTTGGCCGCCACCGCAACCATATCCTGATCCTGTTTTATTATAATACGCCTGATCCTCCGATGGAGAGTCTTCAATTAAGCTTATGCCACCTCAAAACCTCTAGATCTTCTTCAACTTGAACCCGGCCTGCACATACCTCGCGATGAGGAACACCACTACACTGGCAGCCATGGCGCAGCCACAGAACAGCTGCAGACCCAAGTAGTCGCCATGTTGGGAGCTGACAATCGCGCCGGCGATCGGGCTGCCGGTCAGCGCGCCGAAGCTCTGCACCGCGAAAGCCGTGCCAGTGCGGATGCCGATTTGTCTGATGTCTGAGATCTGCGCAATGAGCGTGGGGCCCAGACTGATGAAGCCTCCAGAGCTGAACCCGAAGAGGATTGAATAGACGATGATGGCGGCAGCGTTCTTGCCAGGGATCCAGAGCGCGAGGGTGATGATGGCGCTCAAGGCGGTGATGAGGATCATGACATTGTATCGGCCAAAGCGGTCGGCGAAGATGCCTGGCGCAATACGTCCAACTATCGACACGGCGTTGATGATAGGCAGCAGGTACGGCACTAGGGAAGGGCGCACGCCGACCTGGGCGGCTTGCAGAAGGATGTAGTTGAAGGGCAGGAACATGCCCCAGAAGAACAGGAAGCATGCCGCGACGGTGAGCACGAAAGCGGGCTCCTTGAATCCGGCGAGATATTCAGATAAAACCAGCGGCTTCGGACGCGGTGGCAGACGCGATCGAACGGTTAGACATGAGATGGTTAGGAGGCCGAGGAACAGGAAGGCAACTGCTCGAATGGCCCAAGGGAAGCCGTTCTTGGGGATCACTGAGGAAGCAAAAGTCAGTACGGACGATGAGAGAGTAGATGCAGGGTGAACGAACTGTGATTCATCATAATTGGAAGGACGACACCGCCAAGAGAGGACCCGGAAACCATGATACCAAAGGCGGCGGCACGGCGCTTGAAGAACCACGAGACTACCGACGACATGCATGCATTAAAGACGGCCGAAGAGCCAACAGCAGCGACAACGCCCTGCGCCAGGAAGAATTGATAATACTCTTTGGAGAGCGAGACCATCATCAACCCGAACACGTAGAAGATTGTGCCAATGATCAGCAGCCACCGGGGGCCGTACGAGTCGAAAAGCCGACCAAAAACGACGCCGCAGAAGGTCATACCAAAGACCTCCATCGACGGAATCCAACTAATCGTCGATTGGCTGTAGTTGCTTAGAGGGCCTGAGACATAGTACTCCTGGAACACACCAATGCAGTTGATGAGACCGAACGTGCAGAACAATCCGCACCAGCCGCCGAACACAACAAGCCACGCCTGGAAGCCACCATCCGGGAAGTCGGCGGGATTGATGCCGGGAGGAGGACCGACTGGTTGCGGTGGATTCACGCCGCCCTTCTCAAGATCGGCCTCGACGACATTTTCCGGGTCGGGGTAGATATTGGCCTCCGTCTCCTCATTCTGCGACGGTATCCTCTCTATTGAAGGACGCTTGTTAGAGGACACGGGTGCAGTGTACGGTGCGCCATCGATCTTCTCCTCGTCCCCTGTCCTGCTGGGAACCGTGCCGTTATGGGACTTCTCGTCCAGCGTCATTGACGAGTCTGAATGCCGAGAACCGGGCATTGTCCCAAAAGACTGTGTCGTTATTCCTTGATCTGCCTCTCTGATAGAAGTGTCTATCTACAAAGAGACACTGCCAAGCAGACTGACAGGTCCCTGGATCTTTGTGGCTTTTCGGGAGCAAAATAGCCAAGCAACGGGCCGCTACAGAGGCTATATTGACAGTGCAGCAAATGAGAGCGGGGGAATGAACAGGGCAACGGGTGTCAGTGGCCTGTATTCAACGATGCTTTCTGCAGCAGATTCATCAAAATTGGCAGGAAGCCCAAGTGTTGCAGCAAGAAACGAAAAGAGGGAGACCAGGTTTGAAGCTACGAGCTAAATGCCAAGTAGCGAAGATGTCGTATCACGGTCGATGAGGCTCAACACCATGAAAGCCAAGGGGGCAGTTAAATAATAATAAAGGAAATTGAAAAATCACAGTCCTCGGAGCTACGAGCGTGATGAGCAACTAAGCCCGATGATACCATGCATGGGGAATGACACTAGGGTCCCCCCTACTGGTATTCTAAAGTAGATTCGTCACTTTCCCTCGCCCGCCGCCCGCCCGTGCTCGCGACTATTTCCAGTGACTTTGACCTGGACTGCGACTGACTGTCCTCGGCCTCTAGCACGTCAGAAAGATTGACGCGAAGCCGCCGCCCAGGGTGGTGCGGTTCCAGGGGGGGAACGTTAGATTGTAACAGGCTGCCGGATGGAGCAAGAGAATATCTCCGACATCCACCATGACTATAATAACCGTGGGAGCCAATCTCACCACCAAGATCTGATTGACTCGGCCGGCGCAGTGGAGAACAGGCCACTGAGGCCAACGCTATTTCCCCAGACAAGCAGCTGAACGAGTGGCTGTACTCCCTCTCGACACAGGTCTCAGGTCGCTGCAATCAACGCCATATGACTGCTCATAATTTTCATGCTTCATATGCTCGCCCAGCGTCGCGAATGCCCCCCCTGCCCAACTAATTCATGTGACCGCGATGAACCCAGCGCCGTGGACTTCATGTGCGCCACGGAGAGTGCGGCGTTGGCAGATTCACTCATTCATTGATCATGTAGCACAATCTTACCACCGTCACCCACCACCTTGCAGCCTTCTACCAGGTCGGGATAGTGCAGTATGGGACCTGATTGCTTCCCCAGACAAGCCCAGACCGCTCGGGCTTAAGGTGAGGCAATGCGAAAGCGCGAAGGGCCGAGGTGGGGGTCAGCTCCAGAGTGAATGGCCCATTGGGCGTGCATTTTTTGGCGTGAGATTTCCTACGGCAGCAAAAAGTCCAGAGTCCGAAGTCGAATGTGGACCTACTAAGATACAGGGCTGAGAGGTACGAAAGTACTGCATAGTACCGCCGGCCGCCCCTAGAGAGTCGGAGACCGAGCCATTGGATATCCTGTCTGTCAGGGTTCAGTCTCAACAAGTGTGACAACTGGCGGGCTGATGTGCTTCATTAGTCAGTCTCTATCTGTCTCCCACTCGGCTCGGAGGTGATGAAAGCTCCCGGTTGCATGCTATACGATGTCGTCGACAGAAGCTTAGATCCTTTTATGGATCTTATCAATCGATCTGGCGCGGGATGGGACGGCTGACAAAGGAAAAAGTACGCGAACCTGCTCGGCATTGGCGCGTAAGACCGATTCTTTCTTACACAGTACGGCGACGCTCACAACTGTATGCGAGCCGAAATACACGGCACACGTCGATGATGTATGTCAATAAGGGCCACAAAGTCTGACGCATTGAGGTGATGAAAACGCGTAATGGTCCACGGCAGCGCGTTGTGCTCTGAAACTGACAAACGATAAATCATCCGTCACGATAACTTTTGTATACGCAAGGCTGTCATGCTTCGAGGCTTTCAAGCTGTCCGTTCGCATAGGTAAACAGATGTGTCGGACGTCCAGGCTCAGAACGTCCCTTCACGGGTTGGCCGATCAGTTTGAGAGACCTTCTTAGTATATGCTTGACTATGTCTGGAGTCGTTATGTTCCATTTCTGTGTTGGTACAAAGGAATTACATGCTTGGTGGATGACTGTCAACCAGCCAATATGGATGTCTACGTCCGCCGGATGGTCCACCTCAATGGACGAAATCCTTCAGGTCTTTTGATTCCTCAAAACGAACTTTCCCGTCCTTGCCAACCGTGGCAACGTGGATTGCTACAGGCTTGTCGGCCGCGCTTGATGGCGCCCCCTGGCCTGCACTGCCCGCGTCGAGCTTCTTCGGCGACACGGCGAGCTCCACCGCCTTCGGCACCACGCCGGCCTCCGAATCCGCAATCTCATTGACATCTTCCTTGGCTAAAACATCACTCACGCGAACTCCTCTGCTCGACATGAGGATTGTTGTGGGCCCCTTGAATTGCAGGAAGAGGCGATCGCCCCAGATCGACTTGCGCGCCGTTGTTCGCAGGCCGAAGAGTAGTCTAGCGAGAAACTTGTAGGTATCTGTATCGCGCATCGCCTTCCAGAATCGACTCAGACCCTCGGGCACGAGTCTCGGCGGTATCGATGGTATCTGCAGACGGAGGCTCGAGCTCTTGAGGCGGAAGGGCAGCGGTGGGTTTCGATTTACAGAGTATGCAACCACATGACTGGGGTGCACCACCAGCTCCTCCCCTTCTCCAAGAGTAACTGAATAGATCTGTCCCGGCGCGGCAAGCGCAGCCAGACCCCGGCCTGTGAGGTGCGAATTGCCCCAGTGTGCCAACGACAGCCCTCGTTGTATGCGCGGTGCGATGCTGAGGGTATGGCCTGTCCATGCGAGGAGCGCATTGCGCTGGGCGACGTTCCAATCTGTAGTTCCGTCAAGGTGAAGGATAGTGAAGGTCGTGTTTGGCGACTTTGTAGCTATGAGGGCGGTGATGGGGGAGGTCGAGGAGATGCGCTGGTAGAGAAAGGGCATTCCCAGGAGCGCATGGCGGAAAGGAGTGAGAAGAGACAGTGTCGATTGCGCCTAGATGAGCGCTCACGTTAGATTTTCCATTGTCACAATGCCAATTGAATAGGTTTCTGCCCACATTCTGAACCTTGCCCGCAACAGTGACCAATGTGCCCCGGCGGGTATAGAGCTTCTGCGATGCGGATAGCGTCACGGACAGCAGGGAGTATGGCGAGCCTAAGACTTCGAATCGAGCATCTGGGTTGCAAAGAGTGCCAATTAGCATCCAATAGCCTCTGTGCCTTGCCTTTGAGGAAGCCCTTACCTGCAGAGTCCCTGGCCAAGTCAGCGGGAGCTCCAAAAGCATCCGCTCCCACCTTCGGCGTCTCTGTGGTTGGAGATGCGCTGATCTGGATGGAGCGGCATTGCCAGCAGACATATCGAGGCCTCTTCCAGGGCAGAGCGCCCCTTGCCAGCGGCAATCGACCGCGCATCCTTGGGGCTTGGGAAATATGGCTGGTCGCTCCGGGGATCGTGATGGAGGCCGGGCCGGTTGTCTGGATGTTTTAATGCGACAAATTCCGATGATCTTGAAAATGATAGAATCAAGCCACACGCCGGCTGAAGCCACACGTGATAGCACCCCACTACCTACGTAATCTTGGGGCGCACCCGCAGTAATCAGCCACAGCTACCCAGGTCCACTAGCTTACTATGCAGTAAATGCTTAGGGAGGAGCTACAGTGGCCGTTGCTAGTGGCAACGCACCAAACAGCCCCCTGCAAAACACGCCGCAATCCACTAACATCATCAACCACGAACAGCTTCGCACTACAGCCAAAATCAAGCGGAAGCATCGTCGGCGTCGTTTACTAACCAGACAGCATTTTCTTCTTCTTTTCTCTCCTTTTCTGCTTCTCATTGCCTCTCTGTCCTCTCATGACACCGTGATCGCCAATTGGCTTGCCATTGATCGATCAATTGACATCAGATCACCAGAGACTCAACAATGTCTGTCCGAGTAGTCGCCAGGATACGACCGCTCCTCAACTCGGAGCTGGACAAGGACACTATTGTCTCTGCGGACAGCACCGAAGACGGCCGTCATGCTACTCTCGTCAAGATCCCAAACCCCAAGAATGAAGCCGAGGAGTTCTCCTTCGCGTTCAACAGCGTCTACGACCAGGAGACGTCCCAAGAAGAGCTCTTCAACGCCGAAGGCACGCCCTCACCCTCCAGACCATACCGCCATGGATACGCCATCACATTGCTAACTTCCCTGCTGCAGTCTCGCCTCACCTGAAGGCTCTCTTCCAAGGCTTTGACGTGACAATCTTTGCCTACGGTGTCACCGGTACCGGCAAGACCCATACCATGCGGGGAGGACTGAAACTGGCCGAGCGAGGCGTCATCCCCAGGCTGCTGAGCAACGTGTTCCGCCGTGGCAAGAAGATTGCAAAGGACTCGGGGGGCGAGACCGCTGTCGATGTTGCCCTGTCCTACTACGAGATCTACAACGACAAGGTGTTCGACCTCCTCGAACCCCCCGAGAAACGAACCCCGTCGGGACTTCCTCTACGAGAGGCAAATGGCAAAACACAGGTTGTTGGGCTGTCCGAGCGGTCTTGCATGGATCTGAAGGACTTTGAGAGGCTATACATTGAGGCAAACAACAACCGCGTCACGGCAGCAACGAAGCTGAATGCCCACAGCAGTCGGAGCCATGCGATCCTACGCGTCAAAGTAACGCAGACAACCGGAGACATGGTCCTTGAGAGCACTGCTTCAGCCATTGACTTGGCTGGATCAGAGGACAACAGACGGACAGACAACGGCAAGGAGCGCCTCATCGAGTCTGCTGCCATCAATAAGAGCTTGTTCGTCCTGAGCCAGTGCATCGATGCCATCTCGCGCGGTGATAAGCGTATCCCCTACAGGGAATCCAAGATGACGCGCATTCTGTCACTTGGCCAGAACAACGGCATCACAATCATGATACTCAATCTTGCCCCGATTCGAAGCTACCATCTTGATACCCTTAGCAGTCTAAACGTCAGCTCCCGGGCGAAGAGGATCGAGGTCCGAGAGATCGAGAACGAAGTAGTCTTCAAGCAGCCGCCCAGGTCAAACTCCTCGCTCACTGGCACAACCATGCAGAGACAGCCTTTGCGACCGCTTGCAAACGCTCATAACGTCCATACAGGAACCCTTGCAGCTAAGATCGTCGCTGATAAGGACAAGCCCGTCAAGGCTTTCTCGGTGTATACCGACCGCTCCAAACCTGCTACAACACCACGGCCCGCTACCGTTCATGCCTCGCTACAAGTCCGTCGCTCCAACTCCAACAAGCGGCCATCCGATTCCAATGACCAAGCCGCCCGCCCCTCGAAGCTAGCACGCCCTTCCATCCCAGCCCCAATGGTGCGATCTCATCCGACGGGTCTTCCCGCCCAGCCTCCTTCCATCTCCGCCGAGCAGATTGAGGCCATGGTAGAACGCAAAGTGCAAGAGATTCTCGCCTCCCGCGCCGCACAAGCATCGCAACTCGAAACGCCCGCCCCACAACAGTCCATGGCAAACGAGATCAGCGAGGCAGTGCAAAAGCGGCTGGATGCGTTGGAGCGTAGGATTGATGACGGGCGACAAGACGACGCACGCTCAGATGGACTGCGCTTCCTGCTCTTGGCGCGGCAGCAGAAGGAGAAGGGCGAGGACGAGGCCGCGTTGAAATACTACGAGATGGCCTTGCCGTACTTCCCTGGTCAGGCGAAACTGCTTGGCAAGATTGAGAGGCTGCGGACAAAGCTGGCCGGGATGAGCGGAAGCGCCAATGATCCCAGCTCGGCTCTCGCGGGAATGAACTCTCAGGAGTCAGCCACCAGCAAGCCACGAGCGCAGAAGAGGCACCCGAAAATGGCCGTACTGGATGACGATCATGACGATTCGTATCACGATGGCGGTGATGCTGATGTGGATGACGAGAGCTTTGTCGGTCGGTCTCATGCAAAAGCGAGCCGGAAACCGAAAGTGAAACTGGCAAAGTCGATCATGGCCGGCGACTCTGATGATGCAATGACACCACGCAAACAACAGCTACTCAACATTATCAACTCTCGCGATCTTGGCGCCATCAAGGGGCTCCATGGTTTCGGTGCGAAGAAAGCCCGCGATCTGGTCGACTACCTGGATCTCATGGGCGATGACGAAGGTGGGCGTATCGAGTCGATGAATCAGTTGCGAAGCGTGCCCGGCATGGGCGGTCGCACGCTCGAGAGAGCTTATGAAGGTCTAGTGAGCGCGATATAATACAAGCGACATTTGCCGTATCCCACTATCCTGGGAAGAACAGGCTGGGGAGCATATTCTGGATGGTGCATTGCATGGCGTTGTCGGAGTCGAAAGGTTTATAGGAACCATGGTATACAAGGATAAATGTACGATTGTTTGTGTTGTTTATAATACCATCATGTTACGGCATAAGCCGTGGTCGACTCAATGTATGTCCTCCGTGCTATCGTGACCGAACCATTGACCGTAATGAATTGGGTATGTGCAACTTCCAACGTGTTCTCCCGAAATTTTCTTTGTCACATAAGCCTGGTCGAAGCAATGTCTCTTTAATTCTAAGGACATTTCTACTGACTGTCAACAGTATAAAAGCTTCCAGCCTTGCTGCCGTCCACTGCCTCGACTGTCATTCTGTCCACTCCACTGTTCTTTTCCATACGCGACCTGTGATGACACGCTCAAGAGTAGAATTGGAAGCTACACTATTCACGCTGTCTATTGCCTAGTTGACTCTATCCAACGACGTCTGTCGAGCAGCTGAGGTCGCCAAATTTTAGTGTAATTCAAATCGGCGAGTTCCCACGGCGTCTACAGAATTGAAGATGGTCGAATTCTCTGCAGACCAGAAGTTGTAATCGGTTACTTCTATGAGACTCCTTGATTGACTTGTTATCTATCCGCACTCGATTTATCTAGATTTACTGGTCAAGATTCTTCCCGGAGACATATTTTCCTTGAGGGACAAAGACGCGGTGACTTTTCGGACAGTTCCACAACTCGGAAAGAAACACACTTCAAAGTCGTGATACAAGAAAACGCGGTATAAGGAGGCAGCTAAAGTGTGATTAGAGTAGAAAACTGAATAGAACGAGAACAAAACAACAATATAGAGCACTCATTCTGTCCAAATGGCCTTCAGACTTGTAAATACCCCTCGATTTGCTCCCTACGAGCGACTATCACCTTCTCAGCTTCAAGATGAGTTAGCAAACAAATCAGTCTTAATCACAGGCGGCGGCAAAGGAATTGGCGCTGCAATCGCGAAATCGTTTGCCGAAGCTGGAGTATCTCGCATTCACATATCCGGTAGAGACCAGAAGAACCTCAACGCCACCGCTGACGAGATCATCTGCGCGTTTCCTGCCGTCCAAGTGGTCTGTCATGTCACAGACATTGTCTCAGCGTCTGACGTCGCCGAGCTATTCCAAGATATTGGCACAGAGTCGCCAGACGTTCTGGTCAACAATGCAGGCTACATGCCCAACGCTTGCCCCTTTGCCGAAGCCGATCTACACGACTGGTGGCGTGGCTTCGAGGTAAACATCCTCGGCACTGCGCAAGTCGTCCAAGCATTTCTTCGGCATCGCCGCGCCAACTCGCAGCAACGAGACCAACTGCTGCCTCCCGCTGTCGTGCTCAGCCTCAACACAGCCGCGGCGCTTAACTACCCCGTCCCATCCAGCACCTCCTACGCCTCAAGCAAGGCGGCCCTCGCCCGCTTCAACGAGCTCCTTGCTGTCGACGTTCCTGAATCCGAAGCGCGTTTTGTGGCGCTTCATCCCGGCGTCGTCAAGACGGACATGTATGACAGAAGCCCCGGTGCACACCTCGCACCGGTAACGGAGGCAAAGCTGACTGGAGATTGGGTTGTGTGGGCTGCGAGCAGGGAGGCCGACTTCTTGGCTGGGAGGTTTGCATGGGTGAATTGGGACGTGGATGCGTTGGTTAGCAAAAAGGAAGAAATCATTGAGGGAAATCTTTTGAAGACGGATTTGAAGGAGGAAAAGTGGCGAACAGAACTTTGAATAATGCCAGATCTGCTTCGAACACCTTGTTGTCTCTGAACACGCAAAAAGCAAGAAAAAGGACAACCGCGCAACATCTTCTCTCTGAACTCATAATATTGTATTAGAAGATATTCATACGAGCATCATGTTTTGATGATAGGGAAAATCCACCAGCTAAATACTAACTATACATAAGACGAATTCACCGTTTCATTAAGCGAATGAAGCTGTGTATCAAGTCGATCGAGAACCTTATAGGTGTCCTTATGAGAAGTTGCCGTCGCCACTACATCTCGGAGTGTCCCAGCAATTTCTATATATTTGCGAACACGGTCTTGCACATCCGTTTCACCACTCTCTGCGCTCCCACTACTTGGAAGCAGCTTGAATCTTGTCATACTACCAGGACGTGCTTGAAGCAGCTCTTTGCCATGTGTGCATGTCCAGAAACAGACTCCGGCACAGATGTTACGCAAGATCGATGGCGCCATGTCGACCAAGGAATGCTGCGTGTTGTCTGGGCCCTGAACGCTATACTTTCTGCTCCATTCAGATACCTCGACGACTCGATGAGCAACGCGCAGTGTCTCATACTCAACACGGTGGGCAACCATTTCCGCCTCGAAAGTCGATTCGAGTGAAATGCCATATCTATCGACACAGTCCTCTATCTGCATATAGAGATTGGCTTCTAAGAACAATAGCACTGTGCGATGAAGCAGGATCGTTTGGCTTGTCTCTGCTGAAGCTAATGCCGTGTGCTCTCTGACTGATCTCGGCTTCTCCGCGTCAATAAGCTGTGTTCTTAGATGTTTCGGGCAGCTCTTATGACGCCAGTGATCGAGCTGATCATAGATTGACAGAATATGAGTGGGTTTGACACCTTTGCGCCGTACCGTGTGATTACACAGCAGCTGCATTATCTTCCGAGCTATGATAGCTAAGACAAGTATCGCGTCTAGGTAGCCTCCATCGCCTTGCAAAGGGATCTTCTCTGCAAGGCCATCATCGTCATCTGGGATACGGGATAGACTCTTGCAATCCAAGCTATGAAAAGCATCTAGCCCATAGACATGCCAAAATAGAAGTGTACGGCGCTCCTTTGCCCGTGCCAGCATTCCTGATGAGACTGAATTTGTTGATCCGTGGTCCTGTATTTGAGACTGTAGAATCATCAAAACAAGAGAGTCGTGGTTGAAAAATAGCCGTTCCAGGTGCGATTGAAGTGATGAGCGATTGCTATCATCATATTCGAAATGAACCATGAGTGCTAATGCCTCAAGATCGTCCAAACGCATCACACCTCCGCTAGAGCCTACTTCCTGAGCTCCCAGGAATACATCTTTGAACCTCGTTGCGAGGCGCTGCTGGATCTCCCATTTGTCAGCCACCTCTAGAAAGGGTATGCCACGGCAAGCAATGGCACAGACAAGGGCATCGCTACACCGATCGGCTTCGAAGTCTTGCCAGAATGCATCTTCCAAAACAACTGGTAGAGAAAGAGCTGCGAGGTCGAAGTATGCATGCAATGCTCCGAAGAAAGTGTTGGAGTTGAGGTTGCAACTCTGCCAGTAACTCTGGCGGTCTGGAGTATCAGGATGAGGGGTGGTAATGAGCTGATGTTGCCGTTGGTCACTCATCTGATCTCCCGCAGCAGCCGATACATCTCGTTGATTCGGCATGACGGGTGCGCTGCCCCAACATGGCGATTCGTATTCCGTGACAAAGATCTCATCCAAGAAGAAAATGCTGTCGGAGCATAGGTCGAAAGGGGAGGCGTCCAGAAACGGGAGATATGGTAGTTCATCTGCAGGAGTTGTTGTAGCCTGTGTTGTCTGTGAAGCTGTTGGAGGAATGGACGAGGAACTGATACTATCATGTGGAGAAAATGAGGTTGTGCTTTGTTCGGCTACATTGCCATCCACGGCCACCTTCTGAGCATTCGCCTGTCGCCGTCGGCGAACACGGATATCATCAGTCTCATCGAGACGGCATTCGACTTCCCGTAAGTCACACTGGGAACACCCCGAGTGGCCCTCATTAGCGCGGGACGAGCGATCGCATTTTATCTTTCGCCGATGGCAAAAGTCACACGATCCTCGCTCTACTCCTCGCCTGAGCCGCATTCTTGGCATTTAGAAGTCGTGGACTCCGCGGTTTCTGGATCTGTGTTCTTGTGGCCCGGCTTGGGCAATGGGGAATTTGCGGGAGTTATACGGGAGTGGCGTAGGAGCTGACATGTATACTCTCGGTGACGGCTTAGTGACGGCTGAGCGGGCATTATGCGGCGAAAAGACGGGAATATTGCGGCGATAGGCAACGGCCAAGGTGAAGTGCTCTACCAAGGAGGGACGAGTACATAAATCAAATCGCAGGAAAATCAAAGACTATCCAATGAATTTTCCTTTGTAAAGGTTCTTTGTTATTATTAACTTTTGAATTGATCCCTCCTACGATCATGAACAATACTGCGAGCGAGATACCGCCAAATGGCGTTGGTGCGCTTCCATTTACACCGCAATACAAGACAAATGCCGCTTTCGTAGCCATTTTCACCATTCTTCTACTTGTACAGACCCTTCTCACAACTCGAAGTCGCCGTTATTATGGCTATGCATTTGGAATGCTTAGTGGTCTGCTATTGGAGCTATTAGGATATGTTGCTAAAGTCCAGCTGTCTCATAATCGATTGAACAAGAATGCATACATCATGTGAGATCCGTTACAATTGCGAGTATCCGCGCGAGGTAATATCTAACATAAATCGCGCCTACAGGTACATTATCGGCTTGACCTTAGGCCCTACATTTCTATCATCATCATTGTATCTTGGCATAAGCAAGTTTCAGTTGCGACTCAAAGAAGCCCGCCGCTCGAGGATTGGCCCCCGGCTCTTCGCAACATTATTTATCCTTGGAGACTTCCTTTGCCTATGCTTCATTGGTGTAGGTGGCTCTCTTGCAGCCATCTACGCCTCGAACCCGATCGGTGTGGATCTGATGATCGCTGGATTAGGAACCCAAGTTCTCTTTACAGCAATCTTTTGCGTTGTTGTTGTAATTACGTACCTAAAATTGCGGGAGAATTTAGTTCAAGTTGAGATATATCGTCTCATACTTTTGAGTAAGTCGCCGGCCCCGCTCAGGAGCTACCATTGAGTCTATGAATTGCTACTGATAATGATATAGGTGTTGCTGCTGCGTGTCTTTTGATTCGTTCTTGTTGGCGGGTAGCAGAGCTGAATGACGGTTTCAATGGACCCCTGGCATCTAAAGAGAAGATATTCATTGCACTTGACAGCTCTCCAATGACCATGATGTCTATTATCCTCACCGTACTCCATCCGAAGCTCTGGTCTCAAGACAGCCACGTTGAGTTCAAGACATCCAAAGGTGGTTTTTGCTAGGGCTAGACGGCTTCTTTTTTTCGGCAATTTTGGTTGTGAGCATGATCATGGAAATTTAATAGCTCAAGCTAAGTAGACGCTATTCAGTTAAGATACAAGAATTCAAGTATCTTCTTTACGAACTATACATAGACCAAATTGCAATTTGTGTCTCGACTGCTGTATGACTGAAGTCAAGCTGATATGTGGCATCTGGTTGATTACTTGTGATTGGTTGTTTCCATTGTGGGTCGTGATAACAAAGGTGGTGGGGATTCTGAGTGATGAGCTTCATGGGTCCTTATCGCTCAGCACTAGGCGCCCCCTCACAAGATCATCTTCATCATGTCACCGTTGCTCCAGCACGCGCTCAAAGACTTGAGAAAGACCACCAGCCAGGCCATTACTTATATGCACAGTCCATCACAACACTCGCTTCATAACGATGGAGGAGCGTGATCTCGAATGCCATCGGCCCGCGAAACGACGACGAGTAGCTGAGGAAGCTCGACGGCGAGCAGTACGTGCCTGCACGAGATGCCGCCGCCTGAAGGAGAAATGCAATGGCCAACAGCCATGTCAGCGCTGCTTCAGATCAGGCCATGCATGTGAGTTCACAGCTACTGAAGCAGCCGCCACTGGTGCCGCTAGTCGCCCTGTAACATCCTCGTGCGTTCAAGACGAGCAACATGATGAAGAGCGCATTCAGTGTCTCGAGAAATTGGTATCACATCTATTGGGAGATGTTCCAATGGACATCAACAGCCTCCGTCGTATTAGCGAAAGGATTAACAGCTCACAAAGGGCGGGAATGGAAGCCGATGAGTTGGACGAGGTGACGCTCGAGCACGAGAACTTTACGGTCAAGACATTATCACAAAGTACAGCGCGTATGTTAAGTTCGTGGCTTGATTAACTACACAGAGCTAACGAAGTTAGACTATTCGGGAGAGTTCTCACATTGGAACTTTTCTCAGAAAGTACGTCAGCGGCTTGTGCAATTTCTTGGTACGGGCTTACCGACGCAAGACCGGAGTGATGTCGACACAGCAGCTAGTAGATCAGCTGGGCCAGCTCGAGGATCGAGAGGAAAGAAAGAAATATTGGAATACTGGAGAGCTACACAGCTTCAGTCACCAAGATCACTTGTGATGAGCGTCATCAACTGCCTACCTCCGCGCCATGTCTCCAAATTTCTGGTACAGATGTATTTCAAGTTCGCACAAACCAATTGCTTCTATGTTGAAGAGAAATGGTTGAGGTCAAAACTCGCTCTTCTCTACGAAAGGCCTGGCGATGTCACTACCGGAGATGCAGCGTGGATTTGTGCCGTGCTTATGGTCTTGGCTATTGGGACGCAATTTGCACATCTCGCTGCTGGCCCTCCCCCGGTGTCAACGGCAAATAGCTCCGATGACGAGTCCTCTGCGGAGGAAGACGTTGGACTTACATTTTATCAAACAGCATCCAAGCTGATACCAGATATCATCACTATCGCCTCATTGGAAAGCGTACAGGCATGTTTGTTGCTTGCACATTATGCACTGCCGCTCGATACACAAGGGCTGGCTTATACATATCTTGGCTTAAGCATCAAGATGGCAATTCAGAACGGAATGCATCGAAAGTATGG